ATGAGTGGGTGTGTATCAGGGGCTGGTGGTGTTGTAAGTGATGGAGAAAAAACTGATACTGACTACTGAGAGTGAATAAGAAGAAGCTAAACCAGTCACTGTATGCTCTCTCTCCTCTTGCTCTGATCTTTTATGATCCTCTCTCTTTTTATCTTCCTCCTCTGTCTCCTCATTCCCCTCTATCTCTTTCCCCCTCTCTCCCTCTCCTCTCTCTCTCATTTCAGGTAAGGTTTGCTAAAGCTGGAGCTAATGATAAACATAAGGTCGAGCCTAAGGAACTTTGGAAAGCTTTAAGCTACCACTCACTTGAGGTAAAGCTATTGATAATTGTTACTAGTACAGTATTTTTTTAATTTTTATTGTATTAGGTGTCAGTGTATGGTAGTTGAGGAGGTGTGTCTCTTAATTCATTGGATCAATGTTCCCTCCCACTCAATGCACTGGAGACTGGAACTGAGACAGTGTCATTCTTCCTTAGGAATAGAGGTAAATGATACTATTTATAGTAACGATGCTAGTGTACATGTTTGGTAGTGATGTAGTAATTCAAAAATTGTCCATTGCACAAAAATTTATTGTCAGAATCAACTCAAACTTTTTTATTGGCAACAGACAGACAAACAGATGTAAATAGTAATAATGATGTATATTGCTTTGCTTAGTTCTGGGATAAAACAGGGTTTGAATTGTATACTAACCAGATATACATGTAGAAGTGAAACACAACTGAGTGTATGAATGAACAGCACGCGTATCTCAGTAATTTTAAATGAGAATGGAATAATGAAGTAGAAGGAAGAAGGAAAAATTGAACAAACAACAAAACACAGTAAAAGCATGCACTTATTTACTAAAAATCATAATGCATGTACATCTCATATTAACAGTCCGTCTATAAATAGAAATAGTAATGGCCACAATAAGGATGACAAACATACACTTAAGTAACAATAGGAATAATAACAATAACAATAATAATACATGCATAATGATCATTACATAACATTTGTACAACAACATTGATTACATAGTAATTGGGGCGAGCCTGAGCTCGCCCCACTCTAGCTATACTCTCAGTCACGCCCTGTCTGTCTGTCCCTCTGTCTGTCTGTCCTCGTACGTCACCCTTATTTATGCGTAGATCTAATATGGTAGATAGATACTATGCATTACCAATGCAATATAAATTCAATTTTTCATTGAAAGTGGGAGCAGTCACAGTAAAATAAAAATGGCAACCAACACACTGGAAGAATTCATGAGCTTTCTAGCAGCAATATAAGGCAGATACACCGTCCAAAGACTTCTCCAGCAGCTATAGAAGGTTTTAAATTCAATTAATAACCTATGAAGCTCGTCTTTATTGATGCAATTGCTATTAAAACTGAAAGTCAATCAAACTTTTCCTCAGTCATCTTAATATTGGATAATATTATATCTAAAGCTAAGTAAAGCATCTTTACAGACATTTATAGGCAAGAAATGTGTATGTGAAACTAGAAGACTAAAAGTTAAATAAAATAAATGATATGAAGTGATTTTATCAGCAGCATTAAACTTTCATCATGTAAATCATGATGCATGCTTTGAAATCATTGGGAGTAGATTATAGATGGATAGATGTACACTACCCAACTCTTTACCTTGAATTTGTTTGCAGATTAAAGTAACCACAAAGTTGCATTGTGTTTTATTATGACTATTTAAGAGTTTTGTCTCTGTCTCTTTCATTTATTCATTCATTGAACTGTTTTAATTTCTACACAGAAATATGTGCTGTGTCACGTCATCATGTTCAAAGAATGAAATTGAAAGATGCTTCAAACTTTTTGGTCAGGCAGCAAACCCAGCAATGAATACTGTATCAACTACTAAAGCATGATTGGTGAGTATATTGAGGAAGTATAGGTTTGAAAGCGGATCATCTGATACTGAGGTTGGTTATAGATGATCTTGTTCATCATTGAAATACTTTCATGCATAATTTATTTTTATTTTTGTAGATACAAATAAAAAAGAAACAAGGTTTTACTCAGTCTCCAAAAGATTGTTTTTCTAAGAATGACTCCCTAATAAAATCAGTTGGAATTAAATTTTATTTTTATTTTCGGGTAGTTTACAAGCATAATATTATTTTGAAATTTTTTTGCAAAATAATAATAAGTTTCTGTAATTTTTATTAGATCAATCTCAAGGGCGTGGTGTAGCCCGCCTTAAAACCACGTGGAGTCATCATGAGAATTTTTTATACTCCTGAACCTGGATTTCCTATTGTCGACACAAGATAAGGGAGCTTCTGATTGGCTGAAGGTGTTTAGTTGCTCCTAGTGAGTCAGAGAGTTGTTCCAGAGGATAATGGATTTCATGCTTACCTCAATGGACTTTCTTAGTGTGGTGTTGTCCTTGGAGAGACTAGTTAGAGAGAGAATAGTATACATATACTTTTGTTGCATAGAAAATCTGAACCGATTCCAATCATAGATCAATGGTCTGATTAGTCTTGCCCCGCCCCTCCACAGGTAGCGAAGGGCAGGACGAAACTATGTTCTGATTAAATCTGGAATTTTTTAATTTGTTCAAAAATGGGCCCAAAGTCCCTGTATTATAAGTCAAAAAAGTATGGCTGCAATTGGTTCATGGTTTTATGTGCATGTATATAGCTACTGTATAAAAGCAGTTAAAACAATGCATGTCATGTATAAAAACCAGGAGGCTATAAAGTCTGGCCCCTATATACCACTACTAGGAGACCAGAGTGACCTTCTCCCTTTCCTATTGACTGCAGTCAGTAAAGTCTTCAAGATTATTTCATTTTTAATGACAAACATCTTAACTTTTACTAAACTCAACTAATATAGATACATGCACATCTTCACATAAATTTGGAACCTTAAAAATTAAAATTTTAATTAGAATTTCTATACAACATATTTTGTATAATTAATTATAAAAAGATGTGTGCACGTGATGGTGGCTCATTTAGCAGTGCTG